AAAAAGGGTATACAGCATTACAAGATACCGTGGAAGGTATATGCTACTATACTATATACTTTCCTGGCGCCCACTCACATCTTAAAACAACTTCCATATTTTATCACTTACATTTACATAATTATATTCATATTTTTTGATTACCTTGTCATCTACACTCACCGGCAAAATTAACGGAACCCGGTAAAAATGGGACATGTTAGATGTCTCAAATTTCCTAAACCTGTTGTCCGATTTTAGTGATTTTTTTAGTATGTTCTAGTTATATTATTTAAGAATATCGATGTAATAATATTGTTGCTAGACAAGGTCAATGTCATTTTATACCGGGTGTAACAATCATACTGTGTTTTTTCCTCAAAGTTCGGAATACCCTGTGGAATATTCTACCATATATAAAATATAGAACTTAAAACTCAATTTTAGCCTCAGGCTTTCTTGACATTTTCTTTTTTGATTCATTTGCTTGTGTTTGATAATAAAAAAGTTAGGTACGTTATCAACTAGCCATGTTTTTCATCAATAAATCGTCATTTTCTGCTTAGTTTAATAAACAAGCCTAAACTAGGTTATGAGAAGTTAACAATTCAATACACACACCGGCAAATTTAAAGGAACAAGTTATTAATGTAATATTTCTTTATATTTGTATTTTATAGAATATATCTACATAGATTTGAATGCTCCTTGTCACAAGAAAGTCTTAAATGTCAAAATGTCAAATTAATTTGTTTATTTGTATTGTGTTTTACATTTTACAGTCGTTCTGTCTGTTGATAACTTGTATTTAATTTGTACAAGTACAAACTTGTATTTAATTAATAAGTTAATTTGTTTGAATTTATTGGATGTGATTTTTCTTTTGATTTGTTCTAATCAGTGGTGTTCTTATTGCAAAGAGTAAGTAAAAATGGGTGATTTAATACCGACTGATATTGTTATGGCCGTAACAATGGTCGAAAATGGTGGAACGTACAGGGAAGTTGCTAGAATATTTGGTAAATCGCCATCAACCATCTATCGTTGTGTAAGTCGTCGGAGACAAACCGGGGAGTATGTAAGAAGAAGGGGACAAGGTAGAAAACGTTTAACCACGGTTGTAGATGATCGTTTTATAACTTTGCAAACATTACGTAGTAGACGTCAAACCAAAGTTCAAACAGGCAGTTCAAACCAAAAACCTGTTAAGAAGGAGACTTAAAGAAGCAGGTTTCAAGTCATATGTGCCAATAAAAGCTCCCAGACTCCAGAGACACCATGGTTTAGCACGACTACAATTTGGTCGAGTACATCAAAATTGGAATGATAACCACTGGAGTAAAATTCTCTTTACGGACGAGAGCCGTTTCTGTGTAAAATTAACAGCAGATAGGTATATTAGAGATATTCTCCAAGACCATGCGGTACCTTTTGCACCATATATTGGCGAAAATTTTATTTTAATGCAGGATAATGCGCGCCCATACGTCGCAGGCTGTGTAAGAGATTTCTTATTACAAGTGGGCATAACAACGATGAATTGGCCAGCTTGTTCCCCAGAACTGAACCCGATAGAGCTTGTGTGGGACATGCTAAGCAGACTTAGGGCACGGGTTCCTGCTATTCAAAACAGAGAGGAAGTCAGAATTGCTTTGATTGAGGAATGGGAGAGACTGCCTCAGCAACTGATCGATAGCGTTATCAGAAGTATGAGAAGACGAATAACTGCAGTTGAAAGGGTTCGTGGGGGAAACACACGCTATTAAAGCCAAAAAAAAAAAAATGCATAAAAAAACCAATTTAAGTTCAAACTGTACAATAAAGTTAATGTGTTTAAAATCCGTATTTTGTTGTATTGTACTAGCATTGTAATATAAATTCAAAATACTTCACCAACATTCGTATTATATTATTTAAATAATATTAACAATAAGTATATAGACTAGAGAGAAAATACTCAGATTTTATGGTTGTTCCTTTAAATATGCCGGTGAAACTAGCAGAAAATGAGAATTAATTGATGAAAAACATCGCTATTATAGTTGTTAAACTACCTAACTTTTTTATTATCCAATACAAGCAAATGAATAAAAAAAGAAAATGTTTAGAAAGCCTGAGGCTACAATTGAGTTTTAATTTAAATATTTTATATATGCTAGAATATTCCACAGGGTGTTCCGAACTTTAAGGAAAAAACACAGTATGATTGTTACAACCGGTATAAAATGACATTGACCTGTCTAGCAACAATATTATTACATCGATATTCTTAAATAATATAACTATAACATACTAAAAAAATCACTAAAATCGGATAACAGGTTTAGGAAATTCGAGACATCTAACATGTCCCATTTTTAAGGTGTTCCGTTCATTTTGCCGGTGAGTGTATTTCTTATTCTATGGTCTCTGAGTGTTAGTCACTCTCCGGCACAGTCCGCCAGCCTTCAATTTAGTTATATTTTTATATTCCAATTTGGTTATATTTTTTCTACATTTCATGTCTACACATGTTTTTCATACTGATCTAATATCTTCCTTTGTAAGGATTAGTAGTATTCTTTAGTGTATCAAGGTACATTTTATAGTTAAGATAACCTTCCTTAATTAATTTGTTTTTTGTGACATTGGCGCTCTATTGTAATCTGTTACATTGGCTCCAAATACTTTTTGTTACATGAGAAAGTTAATAACAAATTCTTCCAATATTTGAAACAAAATCTTATTGATGGCAAGCAAAAATAGGGTTTTATCTGATGTATTTCACATTAATTTAGAGAAATATACAATTATTAGTGCAAAAATAGATAAGAATTACAAATTCTATTGTGTCTAAACTGTAGTGGGAAGTATTTACTGATAAAATAATAACAATAACACTCAAAATTTTTCTTAATCAGAAAATGAAACAAATTACCTTACAGTGTAATCAAGGATTATATCTTTAGTCATATGGATTGTAACTTTTCGCATTTCAGCACACTTGTTTCCCAAATTGTAACAGTAGCCGTATTCATTGCTTCTTGTCATGTTTCCAAAACTGCTGCGTCACTGTAACCGTTACGTCGAATATAGTTATCGTAGTAAGTTTTGCCAGTTTCTGGAAACTGGCTACAAGCGGCTCAGTGTAGAGAACACTGGAAAGAATTGAGGGAGGCTATGTCCAGCAGTGGACGCGATTGGCTGATTGATGATGATGATGATGAGTAAGTTTTGCATATTTGCATATTCCCCAAATATATTTGGGACATATATGGGATTGAATTCACAGTGGTAAGAGAGCAGTTTTAACACATTATATCCAAAACTATGTATAATCTCGTCTACTACTTTTTTTGGTTTTTCGTTTCTTTTGGCCAACTGTAGTAATTCCGGTTTGAAAGAATCATAAGGTTTAAAATATTTTCATTCGTTAAGCATTATTTTCAATAAACGAAACTGGAGACCAAAATAATCAAATAAAAAGACGTATCGAAATTGCCAGGGCCACCTTCATAAAGATGAGGAAATTCTTCTGCAACAGAGATATAAACATCCCTCTACGATTAAGAATGCTAAGAGGCTACGTATTTAACATGATATTATACGGTGTAGAGGCCTGGACTCTCAAACAGAACAATATAAAAAATATTGAAAGTTTCGAGATGTGGTGCTACCGTCGAATGCTGAAGATAAGTTGGGTTGAAAGAGTCAAAAACTGAAGTAATACGAAGGATAGGAAAAGACCCAGAAATTTTGTCAACGATCAAACGAAGAAAACTCGAATATTTGGATCACCTGATGAGAGGACATAAATACGCATTACTTCAAAATATAATGCAAGGAAAAATAGAAGGAAAACGGAATAGAGGCCTTAGAAGAATGTCATCGTTGCGTAATTTGAAAGAGTGGTTTGGCTGTATAATACCACTAATGAACTCCTTAGGTCAGCTGTAAACAAGATCAGGATAGCCATGATGATTTCCAATATCCGACAGGAGTGGCACAAGAAGAAAAAGAACCATTCTTTTACTTTATGTACTGTCCAGGAATTTGTTTTTAACCATTTCATAAACATATCTGTATTCATGTTACCATGATCATCATCCAATGTTGATGAAAACACAAGAAGTGCTCCATCAATAAAATCATTTTTTCCACTCGCATGCAATATAATATGTCTCTTTCCCCGGATTGGTGTGTTTTATTTATTTTATGAATTTTATACTCTCGCCCTGCGAAATCCGTTTTATTCCACTTTTAGTAAAATCCACGTTTCGTCTAAATAATCAAATGAAACGCGTTATTTTTTTTAAATTATCTTCTTCTTCGGGCGTCTTGTATGTAGGCTTTAAAGCCTGTTTTTCAAACAGGCTTTTAAAATTATTAGTTTCTTAAAAACCTTATTCTTTTGTTAACGACTAGCTCTTTCACACGAGGATTTTTATTAAGTCCAAAAATTTAAAAAAAAAAAAGGTCCAAATTCCAAGGTATATGTAAATAAATTTTTTATTTTGTTTCTTCCTTAAAACAAACATTTACTTAGTAAAAATTATACGTTTCCATAAAAAAATGCTTCTTATAGAGGGGAAGGTAGAAGGAAAACGTGGTCGTGGTAGACGGCAGGCGTCCTGGTTGAAGAACATTCGTGAGTGGACTGGTTTGGATTCTCAATCTTTAATAAGAAAAGCCAGGGACAGAAATGATTTTGCTGAGGTTATCGCCAACCTTCATTGAAGACGGCACCCAAAGAAGAAGATAAAAAAATGATGCGGTCCCTAAAGGACCCCATGTAGTACTTTACGTTTAAGAGTTAAACGTGCTTGTAGATGACCAAGCGCAAAAAAATTTGTGACTACAATTATAACCACTCAAAATGGGCCGCTAATAATTTTGTGGTTTACAGTTTTCTCCTAGAAAGCACAAATATACGCAAACTACCCCAATTATATGTAAATAAAGAATAATTTAAAATATCTTATGGGATAAATACAATTGCCGATATTATCACAGTAACAAACAGGAAATAATGAAGTTCTTACCTCCTTAACGGCTTCTTCAGTCTTACTTGTAGGTGGTTCGGGTACAAATATTAATCCTTCGTCTCGGCTTATCACATTATTTCCCCCATTTACCAAACCGTTGGCTAAATGAGGCTCCTCTGCGTTTTTTTCAGATTGTGTAATTTCTTCACTGTATCCTTCATCTATGTCTTCTGGCACCTCCTTATTCCTATGATTTAACGACGATTCTATATCCTTTCGACCGTACTGAAAATAAGAAAAAATGTTTATATAAAAAGCTCTATTGGATAAATACTACAAAATATTACCAAACATTTTACGCGACTGTCTACATATGTATTACCAGAACAAACAATAAAGGACTCGAAAACCATGCACAAGACCAGACAGAAACAATTCTGACAAGTTAAAAAACGATCAAAATACTAAAAAACAAATAATCAGAAGGTCACGGATGAATGCCAAAAGAATACCTAATTAAAAGTAGATGGAAGAAATTAATAAACATGTTTTTTTTTTAACCTATTCTCTATCCTTCCATTGTTGGATATAGGTCTCCCCCAGTTCTCTCCATCTTTCCCTATCTTGAGCTGTTCTCTGCCATGTGGGACCTCCTTGTTTCCTGATGTCATCTTTCCACCTCATCTGTGGTCTGCCTCTTGATCTCTTTGCATTGTATGGACGCCACTTTCCGATGGCATTGTTCCATCGTCCGTCTTGGAGACGTTCATTGTGTCCAGCCCATTTCCATTTCAGTTTTGCTGCTTGTTCTATCGCGTCTACTGTCTTTGTTCTGGTTCTGATCCACTGGTTACGTTTTCTATCTCTAAGTGATACACCCAACATTTGTCTCTCCATCGCGCTTTGTGCAATAAACATGTACAGGTGGAATACTAGACGGCGGTTTGGAGATAAGTAGACAAGACACGTACCGTGTCCGTCCCAGCTTGAGTGGAAGAGGAGTTCTGAATTAAGTAAGGACTCTTCTGTACTTCGCGGAAGACGGACGGGCGGGGGAGTCCTCAACAACGACACGGCGCGTGCCACTGGCTGATAGGGAAATATCCTACAGATATGTAGGATAGGTGTGAATAAGGTTTTACCAAGTAAGCACTCGTTGACCAACTGAGGACATGGTATAGCGCAGCAGCTATGACATAACTTGTGGGTTTAATGATAGATACTCACGGGCGGATATCACATAATGATTTAACCAGCCGTGATATTGCGATCAGGCAGGCAAGGGGAAACCACCTGATTAATTTAACCAAAGTTGGTTCCGGGCCAACTAGTGTCAAATGGGCTACCGGACATGTGTTTGTGAGCAACCAGGCAACACATGCGAAATTGGCGCCTGGAAGAAAATTAGATTTCAGTTAAGAAAAGCAATGGGAATAGCAACCTAGAATGTTCGAGGATTATTGCAACCAGGCAAACTGCATATACTACAAAGAGAAGTCGAAAGAGAGGATATAGAAATATGTGGACTTTCGGAGACTCATTGGAAAGAACAAAGACACTTCCGAACGGCAGATCATGTTGTGTACATATCGGGAGCAAATAACACAGGAAGAAATGGTGTTGCAATTATGGTGACTAAAAAAGTTTCACAATACGTGTATGATTACCAACCGATAAATGATAAACTTATAAAAATAACCTTACTAGCATCACCAAACAAAATACACATTCTTTAGGTCTACATGCCAACCTCAGACGCGTTAGATAATGAAGTGGGAGACGTAAACTCCGTTATTGAAGACACAATAAGAAATATTCCATCTAAAGAACCACTCATAATCATGGGCGATTTTAACGCTAAGGTAGGAGAAACAAGAAATGATAACATCCAAAATGTAGGAAACTATGGGTTAAATGTTAGAAACAGCCGAGGCGAACGTTTAATAGATTTTGCAACCGAAAACAGTTTGGCCATTGTAAACACAATGTTCAAACATCATGCTCGTCGTTTATCGACGTGGACCAACCCAAATGGAGAATACAAGAACCAAATCGACTACATATTGATTAGAAACAGATGGAAGACATGTTTTACAAACGTAAAAACTAGACCAAGAGCTGAATGTGGATCCGATCATAAATTGTTATGGTCTTGCTTCAAGATAAAGCTAAAAAGAACAATGCCGCAACAAAATCAAAACAGGCTGGAGATTTCAAATCCGAAAACATTTAGAGATGCATTAAAGGAAACTAGTATGTTGAACACACAAGGCAACCCAGAAGAAATGTGGAAAGGTTTCAGAAATGACACAGAAACCTCTGTAGAAAGAACAAGAACCGAAAAAAAGATATTCAAAAGAAAAACTGGATGGCAGACAGAACGCTACAACTTCTCGAAGAGCGAAGGAGAATCAAATCTCTCATATATCAAAACGACAGCAACAAAAACGAATTAGCAAGGTTAAATACAGAAATTAAAAGAGCATGTAGGGATGATAAAATAAACATATAAATGAAGAATGCGAAGAACTAGAGAGACATGCACACCGGTATGAATCACATGAGCTATATAACAAAGTCCGATATCTATCTGTAATTTAAACCAATCACACAAACAATAATGGATCAAAACCAACATATTATAAATGACGAGAAAGGGATTGCGGGGGTATGGAGAAAATATTGTCAAAGTCTATATGCAGATGATCCTCAGAATGCAAATCACGATGAGTTCACTGCAGAGAGAGAACCAAACATTCTAAAGTCAGAGGTACAAAAAGCAATAAATAAAGCAATAAAAAGCAATAAAAAGTTGAAAAATAGGAAATCTCCTGGAGCAGACAAGATCACCGCAGATGTTTTAAAAGAGCCTGGAGATGTTGGAGTAAATGTTATGCGTATGATCTGCAAAAAGGTGAAGTCCGTATGTCGAATCTGTTTTTGTATTCTTGATCATAATCATTCTTTTAATGACAAATTTAAAATTCTTCACATTCAAAATAAAGGCCTTAAGCTATCTTTGTTAGAATCTATGGAAATCAACAAATTAAAAAACACAGATATAATTCTGAATGACCAACTTGAGATAAACAGTTCTCCCCTCCTGAACCTATTTCATTAGAGACTATAAATTTGTAAACCCAAGCCCCAAAATAGATCACTTGAGAAAGGCAATCAGCCGAAACAGCTGTAGTGATAATATTTAAAATAAATTTTGTGGAAGTTTGAAAACAAAGTTTTCAGTGTTTTATTGTTACATAAAATGAATTTCCATCAAGTAACGGTCGAATCTATCAACTATATTTATTTATTTTATATTCTTTATTGTTTTAAAGTTGCATTGGAACTAGTTTCTTCAAAGGAGACAAACGTTCGAGGACAAACAGTTTAAACTGTTTGTCCTCGTTTTAGTGTAGTGTTTTGTACAATTTTATGTTATTTTTAATGTTTCCACATTCTACGCTTGCCGGATAGTTCACATTTTGACGAAATGCCCCTGAAGATGCTATTTTAAGCGAAAGTACTTGGGCTTGATTTAATTAACTTGTGCTCGATAATAGCCTTATTTTCAAAGTTCATTTATTGGAGCATTCAACCTCATTTCACTTAATAATGATTAACGTTATTACTTATATATGAGGTTGAATGAAAATCTCCTGTTTGTAAGTCTAGACTGATTAATGAGAGGAGTTGCTATTATAATACCAATTTCCTTCACTGGTTTGTCTTTTGCAACCGGGTAGTCATCCAAACTCATTAAAACTTTTAAATTGACCGCCCAATTATTTGGGTTGGTACCTCCACCTTGCTGATCTGTCAAAAGTATTTTGACCTCAAGGTTGGCTGTCTTTTTGCGGTTTAGTTCGTTCTGGTTTATCTAACGCCATTTTTTCCGGCGACAGCTGTAGGGCTTTGATCGGTAACTTCATTTACACTACTTTTTTAAATTAAAATTTTTTTATTAATATCACTTATAATGCTACCTAAAGTTAAAATCAAAGCTTAATAATCATTAAATAGTTGGAAGTTGTCTATGATTTCTTGGTTCTTTTCACTAATTAAGATTAAATAATATTTCATTTACTTTAGACCACATGGTCATTTGCTGTGCTAAATTTTTTGATTGTTTATACAATATCAGCGAATAATGTCCATTTACTTGAGTTTTATTCACATTATTGTAAATAACTTTGACTGCTACATGTCATTTTAAGGTAACAATTAACATCGTTTCCATGATTGTGTGGTTCTCATATTGTACTTTTTAGATGAACTGATGATGCTTTCAAAACTCGAAAGCGAAACGTCTTCAAAATAGATAAAGTAGCTTATCAACTTTGTCTTTTATTTCTCCACCTTGAGACCGATATAAGAACCCACCACTCGTCTGAGTAATCCTTTTATATATATATATATATATAATATATATATATAATATATATATAATATATATATATATATATATATATATATATAACGATGATATATTGAAATTAACGATGCGGAATTTTTAATGAGTATTTCATGGTAGATACAAAAATTTAGATAACAACTTTTACATCAAAATCACGTTATAACTAATACATATGTAATTAATTTAACCGATTGACCTTGATATTTTTAAAGTATTGCATTCTATTTTTAAAGGCTTAAAGTGGCTCTTAACATTTGTAAAACATATCAATTAATAGAAATGATAAACATTTGCTTACATTTGCATGATACTTCTAATGATCTGTTTAAAATATTAACTCATTATATTTAGGCAAAAGATATTTTTAGTTAATATTTTAAGAATACCACTATTAAAAAGATAATACATCTGTAGACGCTTTTCAACATACATGCGTACATAATATACACCATAGCTTTTTTATAATCATGAGTGCCCGAGATGTCTTTAGTTTTCAGTGTTGTGTATCATTAGTGCACAACATCGATTCCAAACGACTATAGTATAACAAGAAATTGGGGAGGGTGGCGCAGATATGTTACGGAATCAGCTCCCCTTATAATTCAATAAGTAATATATGGTCATTTACAGTGAACCAGCTGTAACAACAAACGGTTAGTCTATACTAGAGAACGGTCCAATTAACTTAGCTACAAATTAATAAATCGCGAAAGAACATGCTACATATTAATTTAATTAAACATGGAAAAATAATATATAAATCACTATAAATACTAAAGTTAGAAAGTGAAAAAGTTATTCTGCTGTAATGATTTTAATATATATTTTTAAAATGATAAGGAAATGGTCATAAAATTGAGATCTGCTGAAA